TTAAACAGTCATTAATTTCTTGCGAAAATTATAACTTTTGAATCCTTCTTAATCACATTAAAATTCGGGCTCTCTCCGTGGTCCGCCATTCGAGGCTTATATTAATATGAGCAAAAATTCTTCGTATCAGGTGTTAATTAGGTTTACTTTAAAACGGTATTACTCTGAATTAAGTGATTTTCCAGCATATGTTCCTCCAACATTTTCATTCAATTTGAACAGCTTTTCTTTCTCATTATTCGTCCAGACTAGAATTAGCAAACGTACCCGATGAAGCCACGCTAACATGTTGGTTCATCCTCGGCCTTACACCGATGACACGGGTGCAGGGCTCGATGACGACGCGAAACATATCGCATGGCACTCGAGGATGACGACGGGCGCGTGTAGGTCGTCAAAGTAGCAACGAGCTACACGAGGAGGCTCGTGGGTAATTAGGAACCGAGAGGGTAGCAAGCTTGGCTGGACGCGAGTCCCGTGTTTGCGCACGCCCGTGTACACAGCACGTGCACGCACCGACTGCAACAAGCTGCAACTGCATCAATTCTTTTTCCTCTTCTTTTATTTTTTTTTTTTTTCATTCGTTTGGTTCCGCGTTTTCATACCCTTTAGCTCGCTTTTTTGTTCGAGCGAGAAATCAAAATCACAAGGCAAATAGATGGATTTTGATGAAACTTTTCTATACGTTTTCAAACTATCGTTGTATTTGAATAATAGCTGTGCAGCCTCTGTTGCTCGGTGCGATCTCGCGACGGTGAGCGACAATTTTCGAGGGGCTCTTAATTAAAGTTAAACCCATTAACATGCACTCGTACCGGTACGCATTCTCGCGTGTTGTCGTTACATAATTTTATCGCTGGATAAGCCGTTATCTATGCACGCGGTATCGGCTGAATATGTCGCCTATGCACCACGGAATTATCAGATTATGCGAGGCAGCTTCTGGAGCTATCACTTTCCGGGGTATTTGAGTACCCAGGGAAAAGGGATACCTCTAATAGGTTCCATACGGGAAAATATATAATTCTGTATGTCAACTATTAATTTTCTACTATTAATTTGAAGTTAGCAAGCGTGAAATTTCATTTTTTCAATATTTATGGTAATTTTCCAATCTTTGTATAATAAAATTCATGTATCTGAAGCAACGTGGATATAGAGACAAGTGAATTAGACGGTAAAGGAGTTTAAAAGGGGCCAATATTAAAGGGCGGTTTCCTTCCCAGGAATTATGCTCCCTGGCCGTGTGTGGGCTGACCCCTCCGGTGTTCTCGTCGTCGCACGGAAGTTCACCATTAAAACAGCTGGATCGAGCCAGATCTCGCGAGACGAATCTAGCCAGTCTTCACTGTCACGGGTCTGACCTCGAATCGGATATCCTTCGTGTGTAGACACGAGGAATCCTTGAGACACCAGGGGATTCAACGTCTAATAAAACGAGCTAACGCTTCTACAAGACGTGTTCCCTTTGGAAAGCTCGTGTCCTGACAGACAAGACACTCATAACGTGAATTCAGAAGGCGTGGCAGCTTTACAAACTCGCGTATAATTCAACGTCAATTCCTACGAGCCATCGTTCGTATAGTTATCGAGTGTTTTCCCCTAGCGGTGATGTATGTAGGGGAAAATTTGAGGCTCAAAAAATACACTAGAAGATTTAGAGAAGATTGCATTTGAATGAAACCGTGACATAGCTTAAAAGCATCACCACAGTAGTAATACTATATTTCATAAATTAAATTTGTATTTAAATACACATCATTTGGCCAAGTGCCACAAGCGCGCCAATATTACGCCATCTTACCATCAATGCACTACTAATGATCCCGCTGAAAAAGGAAATCGTGACGTAGAATGTAACAGTAAATTAATACACTTAAAATTGGTGAATGACTTGGATGTTATAGCTGATAAGATACTCTTAAATTCTGACCTTATTTCAGTGTTTGTAATTATTTTGGTGGCTAGAATGAGGGACCCTGAAATCGAGGTCAACTGAAAACTTCCGCTCGATCGACGCTTCATGTAAACAGAAGCTTCGCGTAATCAAAATCCAAATAAATCAAATTACTGATTGAAATTTTTATTTACAAATAACTACAACATTTGCTATGTCATTATTACGAAAATTAATGAAGCTTTCATCTATTTTTTAACACGACTACAAAATAAAAATAGATTGAAGAATTTGGAACAATTCGTTTGGTTCAAAATAACCGTATCTTCATATTTCAAGATGCTATCAATGGATTTCGTGTAATGACGTCAGCGACATCTGATCACTGTATAACCTTAAAATTGAATGCAACTGAAAATTTATTGAACCGTAAATTATTGAAGTAAGACAATATTGAATGAGGATCGTTGAAAAGAAGACAACGATGTTGAACCAGAAAAGAAATTGCACGAGGAAATACAATAAAACAGAGTGGAAGCGTGTTCACGGCCCCCTGACACACATCGACTCGTTAAAATAACGACATAATGGCTAATTTAGCGATAATAAGCGCGAACCGTATCGTTCAAATTAGTGTCGAAGGTGAGACGAGAATGACAAAGAGGAACGTTTGAAGAAAAAAAAAGGAGAAGAGACCGACGTGTCACAAGTCAATGGCCAACTTCTGATATCCATCTGCCGCCATCTTGTGGCTAGGTTACGAAACGTTTTTCAAGTCAGAGCCGTACACTGATCTTTTGAACCCTGTGCAATCTTCACCAACATAGATAAACAAAATTTAACAATTTTTCTAAATGAAACGCTTTAACATTTTCGTTATTAAAAATATCTTGCTTCAAAATCTTTAATTATACTTTTAATCAATTTCAAATAAATCAGGAGCAGATCCAATAGCGTTAATTGGAGGAGAGTAAAATGTGTAGAACTACATTTTGAAAATGTGAGAATAAGATGAATATTGTATTTCTAATTTCATTCAGCGAAGAAAACGATCGTCACCCGGTCGAGATCAACGACCTTCGACAAAAACATTCACAACAGTCGAGAAAGCAATTGTAGAAGCGCGTACCTTTTAATGAGCGAAACGATTTCAATCGCGTTTTCTATTGCTCATTTTTGTTTTTTCAGCTCAAGGAACAAAGTGTTTTACACGGCTAATCGGCATTGTCAGGGTCGTATTCAAAAGGGGTTCAATTTTCTCTATTGCGGCTTTTATTAAACCCACCATTCTTGTATCTTCAGAATATAGGTCGAATCTCGTATTACATAAAAATAAGACTGTTTTTCCTGTGAACGGGTGGCGAGTTGCCAAGATAAAAACAAACTCGTTGAAATCGACTCGGAATCATAAAAATTCTCCGAACATGTAAAAAATTGTCAACATCCAAGAAAAGGGTGGGATAAATACAAATCACTCCTATTATATTCCAGTTAATGATGCTACTTACAATTAGTGTCATCGTAAATAACAACTGTTTCCTTCTCATTGAACGGCAATTATCGCATAATGAATTATTCGATAAATTCACATACACGTGCAGGGTATATTGCATGAGATAAAACGTCTCGAGATGTTTTAATGTGCAATCGTTGATCATAGATTTTAACCGACAATTTTTGTTGTTAATTTAAACATTGATAGATAAATTTTAAAAAGTATGACGCCATATTGCTTCTATCCATCATTTGATTGGTCCTGGTATCAGAACGCTGTTCTAAAAACTAACCTAATCTAACATAGAGGGAAACCAATATGGCGCCCAACTGACCTCGAAAATATAAAAATTCTCAAATTTACATACGCATAACTTTTGAACCACGGTATTCCTGAAGTTAAGACTTATATTTTTGGATTCTATACATTAAGAAGTATGAAATGGCAAACAAAACAGTTGATAACTTTATGTCTTTTAAAAGAAATTTCAGTCTTTTTGATAAACCAAAATTTCAAATATGATATACTAATGGTGAACTCTAGGTTACAAGGTTAACGCGTTAATTAACAATTTGAACTACAGTGGAATTTTTAACGAAACCAACCGAGAATAATAGATAAGCATTATCAGAAGGAAAGTCGGACACTCTAGTAAGAGGTGATATTTTCACATATACAATGAATAAATGATCCATGTATTCGTGAATGAAATCCAACTGTGTAAATAAGAACACGTTTCCTCTACTTTTGTTTCTACGACTGATAGTTTAACAGTGTCATTGCAGCGGTATTTCCTCCTATTGACTCAATAAAATCATATATATATGTATATAAAATTCTCAATAGTGAATTCAGCGGCATAAGTCAAGAAATAGTAATTCGACGCGGTACAAGATACCGTCGGGTAATATTATTTTTGCATATGAAACATATATACAATTAACAAGATCTCTAAGCGACAAAACAACAACCACATATTTCATACTCAAAGCCACGTAATACATATTATTTTCTCAGAGGAAGAGAGAGAAAGAAAGAAAGATATCGATCTCTCAAATGCTTGATTTCATAGTTGGATCGAATTCCTTTTTTCCAAGGACGATTAACAATTTTTTAGCGATGCGATTACACCCAATGGCGCTTCCGTTATCAGGCGTCCATTCTAGCAATCTGTTTGTAAACGATCAACGCAGAAGTCAATCTCAAGTGGTTGCACAATATTATCTTAACAAGCATTAAATGTCTATATATGAACAGTATATAACATACTCTGAAGGGTATCTTGTAAGAACGTCTGATTGTTAAATATTTATGGATTATTATTAACATTTGAACGTTAAAAGAGAGAAATTGAATAGAAATTGTTGGTTTCAAGGGCGTGGTTTAGCGGGCAATATGACGTTCCTGTGTGAAACACGACGCGTGGCTACCACGAACGAACTGCGTCAACCGCGATCGAGAATTCGATAAAGTTAATCAATAACATCGAAAAATCGCCGGTAACGCGCTTGATTCAAGCGTTCCTCGTACAGCTGTTTTACAGTTACATCGTCGTCGAACCCGTGTCGAGCATGAATAGAAATAGAAACAACAAATAATGTTACTGACCTCGGTCGCTAGCTTCCCTTTCGACGCCATGTTGACAACAATAATGGCCGCCGGTCGACGTTCCGACTACCTGCTGCTGCACACACGCTACACTTACGATCACCAACGATTCTTGTGAGTATTCACGATAATTACAGTACTTAATACCAGCGAAACACACGCACACGAGTTGTACACGTCCACTTGCGCGTGCGAGAGAATGGAATGTCGGTCGCGATCACAGTTTCGAAAACGATCCTTCATGCGACCGGACTGAAATACAAGTTGACGTCACAGCACGAAGCGTCTTTTCGTACTAAACGTACTACGAGGACTACGAGTTTACAAGCGACACGAAGGCACCCCGGCTCATCATAATCCTTCCCCCACTACTTTAACCGGCCGAACAAGTCCCTTTCACTCGCTCGCTCGATAATTATTATACGGTAACAGTCCCCTGCTTCTCTCTTCGACATATTATCCTCTTTCTCTGCCATATTTACTTTCGCGCGAACGATCCCCCCACCGTAACATTTCTTTGTCCCCCCTCGTAATACGCTACTGTGTAAACCGGTATTTGAACATCGAAGAATTTGAACGACGATGTTATCGCTCACAGTTTATTGCCTTCTTCGTTCCATTAACGATTACTAAAGTAAACTATTCAAGATTTCTTCACTTGCGAACAGCGTTTTCTCGTTGATTAGCTAACGAGTCAATTTACGAGAGTTGAGGTTAGGTGTCACTCGCCCGGAGAGAATCGTTACGTCACACTCTCTTTCTTTCTCTCGATTGAGGATCCACCGGGAGCGAAGGGAGACCCGGTTTAATTCAAAGTGAATTAACCTTCCTGCACAGTTTTGCCCTCGCTGAACTCGGTTAGATGAGCGCGAACAAACGTCACGTACTTTCGATGAATTTTGGACTGAAGAAAAGGCGCGGACTTACTGCGCATGCGCGCGCGTTCCAATGAATCATTTGAATCGCTTATTAATTCGATAATCGATTATCGATATACGCAATAAATTATCCCAATTCAAAACAATTCTTTCATTCAAATAACATAAATGACATTCGAGAACATTATCAGCTTCACTTATTCGTAAATACTCTGCAAAATTATGATTAAAATATTAAATATCAAAATATTAATCTTTTAGGATATTAAACTACTTTAGAAATTTCCATGGTCAATTGATCTTGCATAATCGGAACAAAAGTGTCAGTGGATCTCCAATTCAATCGCTTCGCTTTTTCATTCACTTTATGCTCACGTAGATGCATGCTGCAAATACTGTTCACGATACAAATGCATCAGTATCGTACAATACTTCGGCTGAAACGTGGGCGGAACGCAAACTCTGCAAGTTTTGTATAAAACTCGATCCTGCTGATGATAGGTGTGACCTACTAATGTTTGACGGAAAACTCTTGTTATGCCTTTAACGCTATAATGAGAGATGAATCGAACACGATCATTCTTATTCGCAAAACTCTTTCCGAAGTAGTATAATCTAAGACAATAAATGGACCCGTTTAAAATAATACTGTATCTGTTTTATTTCAGTTAAATGGAGATGATGCTTTGAAATGGCCTGTATGTGACATCCTCTACGAACTGTTTATTTTCGGTTCGATTTACATGCGAGGCACGCCCAACACCGGAATCATTATTGGCACAGGGACTTTGCCTAGAATCGGTATTACATACGCGTGCCATAAAAAAGAAATGTGGAAGAGACTGAGCTGTTGTCGGGACAGGGAGGAGAAAAAGGGATATACACGAAGAAAAATGCGAGCCCCGTGTAGCCTTGCGTGGGTCGGCAAATCCATTTGGTGCTCGTCCCCGCTCCACATCCTCACACCGGAACCAGCGATGGCTACAAAACGGAAACAACTATAGAACTTTCCACCCCTTCCACTTTCTACCGGATTGTACATACACGCGTGGGTCGTGTCTATTTTATCCATTCCTCCGGACGTCATACAGACGGAATAATGTCAAGGACATACGGTGGCCAATCGGTCAAGCTGACAAATTTGTAAACGATTCAACCAAGGTACACACTCCTCGCAGAAGAATGAACTGCGAGCTTGTGTACCTCTGGGAACGGTCAATCAACTAATTCGATCGGATTGACGACCCCCACTTAACTGTATGAATGGAACTTTTTGAAATTGACTATCTACAGGGTGATTCTCTCGCTGCTGGACACAAAGAAACACTGGCGACAATGAACCCCTTGACCGCACCATGTCACGTGCCAGCGGGGACCTACCCGAGCCGAGACGACTCTGTGCAGGTACGTATGTGTGTACGGACCTCTTCATGGTGCGGTCAAGGGGTTCATTGTCGCCAGTTCCTTTGTGTCCAGCAGCGATAGAATCACCCTGTATATAGGGTATTTCAAGTAAGCTGACGATCAATGACCTTATATTGAATCTTATTTTATGTTCGGACCAGCTTATTTGAAATACCCTGTACATTTGTAATTATTATGTATTATGAAATTCAATATGTAACTGCAAAGTACGAGTAACAAAGTAAATACCAATTCAAATTTTCCCGCATAAATGTTCGTACGCAAACGGTAGTGGTCCGCCACGGGCCTATACACAGCCGACTCTAGTACTAGCCATGCTGAACAACGTGGCAACACCGCTCACGTGACAATCGAAAGTCCTATTTTCAAAAACAGAGTCCTGTGCTCGGAATTGTAATTAACGTCTTTTTTAATTAAAAGCTGTAGTAATATACACTATTTTGTGTTAATTATGTATAAACAATATATAAACGTTGCAACTATGGCAAATAGAAGTGATGTGGAAGTATAAAATTGTTATAAATGTGATATATATTTTGTGTACTCTCAAAGTAGTTTGGTGTTGTGAAGCATGATATTTGAAATATTTACAGTGGTTTCAAGAAAATTTAGGTATGAAGCAAAATGAAACCATCTTTGGATCAAATTGAAACATTTAAGAATTGATGAACGTGTATATAAGTTAATAAAAACCTTGAAACAAGCGAAATTATTGGAACGAAACCAAAGAGGTTATGTGAAGTCCAGAGAGTAGTCGGGAGTCTGACGACGTTGATTGGCTGAGAGTCTGGGAGTCCGGGAGGCAGATAGAGTAGGGTAGGTGTTGATATATTCAGACCGGACTCCCGCGGTGTTGCCATTTTTACTTCAGCACGGCTAGTACTAGAGTCGGCTGTGCTGTGGCCTATACAATGTATAGTATGTATATGAGGCCCTATTGGCTTCTCCATGATTTTCCCCAGGGATGCCCAGGGAGAAGGATGCAGCCATTTTCCCTGGGCAAGCCCAGGAAAATTAAGGTCTCTTGCTTGCTATTAATACTTGAGCTCTTTTTAATTTTCATTTAATAACGTGTCGTGTTCATAAATCACAAAGCTAAGGGGGAAAATATTTAGGCTAATCAGGGGATCAAAATTTCTGATGAAATTGTCGGCTGTAATTATAAATGTTCAATAAATGTTCATTAAATCCAATGTGCACACTGTGTTCTGTTACAATATCCTTCCTTGTGATAGGTGTAATTGTATCCTGCGGTTTTTTATTAATTAATTAAATAGTAATTATAATTCGAAAATTAGCGTTCAGTTAGGTAATTTTGAAATTACGTTTAAAATAGCATTTCACTTCATTATTCATCAGCAGATGTAAATTATACCACTCAAATACTATTTTATCATTAAGTTAAATTTATAAAATTACAAAGGTCGTAAGTTGTACGAATCTCGCCGCTATAAAAGTATCGAGGCACGCTTTAAACGTGGAAGCTTGAATAGAATCTTTGGTCACCCAGGATTATTTATTCATACCATAAAGTTATTATTGTTCGCGTTAGGAGCGAGTTCGAAGGTGTCGCTAGATACCTTTCGGAGCGATGCGACCGGGTCGATCGTTGTGCAGGGATGTGGGTCAGGCATACGCCCGAACCCCCTGGATTTTCATCTCGTCCCTTTCTCCAGCAAACATTCGTACATATGTAGCACGTAATTTTGACGTAAGATCGTTTATACCTTTCTCCATCGAAATTCATCCGTTATACCTTAAGATATCAAGCAAATATTAAAATTTCCCCATTTTCATAGCGTAGGGTACACACACTATATTATATTTATTATTCTTTTAGAAAAAGGGACAACAATTGTGTTACCCTAATTAATTGTCAATCTTTTTCGCAACTGTTTTGTCATTAAAATTAAAATATCACTTAGGTTCTAAAAATATTAATTCAAATAATTAAGTCGAAGAAGGCATGCATATAAAAGGAAACACGAATTTAACGATTAAATTAAGTTTAATGCATAGTGTAATAATTTATAAAATAGTAATCATTTCGTCAAGCCACGCAATCGTTAGTTCTTCGTACAGCCTAGTCGACAACCTTGGATGGGATCCTGATGCACGCTTGCGATTCGGAGTGTTCGCCAACCAAATTTAATTGGATAGTCAGAGAAACCTTTGGGTAGGATCTCTCAATAGGCATTTTGAGTTTGTAGGTGGCTGTATCTCCCTTGTTCAATGGGCATTCAGACTTGTCAAGATCCCGACAGGCGTTTTGTTGGGGCAATGGGTATTTCATGTGGATTTTGTCCAGCTCAACATCTACGTCGGGTTTCAGGGTTTTGCTGTTCTGAGCTAAAATATTATAGAATTATATTACAATATTTCTAAATACTCTTAATGGTTGATACATTTAGGTTTGGCCATCGGACTATTTAGTTTGATTGACGTTACTCACCGGCTTTGAAGGTGATGCGCGCTTCAACATCGGTACCCCTCTTGAAGTTGCAAGGAAGAGAAGTGCATCCGGTAATGGTGACGCTCTGGGGTACGGGTTTGCCAGGGCATGGCAAGAAGCTCGCCTGCATGGAGTCGGCGACCAGGAATACAACCAGGATGTATGCTGTAATCACAAAACAAATTTTTTAGACAAATTTCTTAACTACATTGCCATAATGAAATTGGACATATCAATTATTGATCCTTCGATGGCAATTTAAATTTAACTATAGACAATTTTTAATTGGACCAATCTTCAGATCTAGATTAATAATTTACATATTTTTTCAAATTAAAACATTTCTTAATGCTGTACTAATCAGGTTACATACCGTAGTTGATGAGAGCCATTGTAGTGGTGTTTATAGTGCTGCTTGTTTCGTATCCAAACAACTGTGACTCCTCGAATCCTGGCTAGTCTATTTATTGGAGAATATTATCTAATCGAGTGATCGCCATCAAAAACAAGTTATCGTAATCAATATTTTGAAACACTTCAGATGCACACCTGATCATTCAAAGTCTGACCAGCTGGATGATAGATAAAAAGCATCTAGTGAAAACTTGTGTTTGCGCATTGTCAATTAAAAAGCTCTATTTCTGATTTTATAATCTCGATTACTGCAGGTGGCATATAGGAAATTATTGATAGTGCAACACCTGACTCCTTGATCCCATTCCGTATCAAATTAATTAATGTTTTATCGGAAATCCCTGATTACGCGTAAAGTGGGAAATTAATAGAAGTAGTCAGGGTAGAATTTGATCAAGATAAACTTGATTCCCTGCAGGTGTTTTAAGGTGACAAATAGTTTATTAGTTTTAATCTTCTATTTCCAATTTTTGTTTGTTATCTTTATCAAGAGATTACTACTATCTTGTTCAAATTTGCTATTTCTATTTCTATTGCTATTACTACTACTTTTACTATTTTTACTACATATTGGTGGTTAATATTAATATTATTAATAGTCATGCCACTAATAACAGTCATACCCAATAGCAGTGTCTATGCAAATACAAATACCAATACTAATATCGATATCGATACCAATTCCCAAGAAATTTTCGATTTATTAATTCTTTGAAAAACGACATGATCGCAAACTGGCGATAAATAAATCGCAATCCCTGTCTGAAATTACGTTTAAACAGAATTATTAACTAGAAACCACTCGAAGATAGCTGTACGCGACTGATTTCTTTCATTAAATCCAGGTGTTCCAATGCAGGTGTTAGCCAGAGATAAACGATTATACGTCATTCATATAGCCGACGATTGGAATCTTTATCAAAGAACACAATATGCTGTCTGGAACTCGTTCGAAGGACTAGTTTAGTCAGAACGTTCGTTCGTGTAGCTACAATTTTTCTTAACTTGAAAATCTTCCATTCTACTTTGTTTTCAACAACCGGGAAGTTGAGGTTTCGGAATACATTTATTTAATTGTTCATTTCTCTATAATAATACTTTACGTATAATCGTTTCGTACAACAGTTGGTAAGCAGTAAACATTTTATAAAACCAGCCAATCCAGTCGTACATTTCAGTCGGGACTCTAATACACATCTGTGGCCGTAAATATTCATCGATCAAAGAAAGTTTCATAAGCACAGAAAGTCTCAGCATAGATTTTGCAATAGGCATATCCCAGATAGCACACGATGTCTTAAAGACATCCATTTTACGACCTTTTTAAGTTTGAACGTCTTACGACCTTACCTAGACGTTTTTACGATGTTTTGTCCCGAACATCGTAAGGATATCTAAAATTCATGTCTTTAAGACGTCTTAAAAACGTACACTGACAAGGGGAACTACCCAAGTGTTACACTCACTTATTAATGAAACTTTGCCAGCATGTAGAGCTCGTCGAGCTGAACACGCCTATACCCCGTTTTGTGGGCAGACGACTAATTGTTTAAAAGATATTAATAATTAAAGTTAGTTACTACTTACATTGAGAAGTATGACAGACTCACACATACAACTCGCAATCTAGAGATTCACGGTTCGATTCCTTGATTCCTAACATTTTTTTTTTTTTTTAATGATAATTTGTCTCTTTTTGAATAACTATTACATAAAAATTATCATAAAAAAAAAATATTTTTTTGTGAACCAAGGATTTGAACCGAGGACCTTTAAATTGCTAGTCACGGATCTGCTCCGTGGTTAAACACATAACTCGTAATCTAAAGGTCCTCGGTTCAAATCTCGGGTTACAGTTTTTTTTTTTTTTTTTATAATGATAAGTTTTATGTAATAGTTATTCAAAAAGAGACAAATTTTGGGAACCAAGGATTTGAACCGTGGATCTCTAGATTGCGAATTGTATATGTGAGTTTGTCATACTTCAGAATGTAAGGAGTAACTAACTGTAATTGTTAATATCTTTTAAACAATTAGCCGTCTGCCCACAAAACGGGATATAGACGTGTTCAGCTCGACGAGCTCTACAAGCTGGCAAAGTTTCATTAATAAGTGAGTGTAACACTTGGAAGTTGTCGCAGTGAAGTTGACGCACTAACACATTGGCTCACCGACGCGACGCGGCGTGAATGGGTTAGTGCGCCAACTTCACTGCGACAACTTCGATGGAACACCGTGTACAAAACGAACGTCGTATCTGAATATCTGGAATAGATATCTTTAAGATGTTTTAACGACATCTCTGTGACATTCGTACGACGTCTTTAAGACATCCTGTTTTCCAACATAGGATGTTTACAGGACGTATTTCAGGGATTCGCAGGATTTTCAGACGTCCATAAGACATCTGAATATCTGGGACAGATATCTTTAAGACGTTTTAACGATGTCTCTGTGCTATCTGGGATATAAATTATGGTCAACCATCTGGCTCTTTACCAATTGACATTTTGCATTGCTAAGATTCATGCAGGCATTCTAATCAATTCTGATGAGGCAGAATATTGTTGCAACAGCGAGAAGTTGTCGCTTTCTCGATACATCGACTGCCTCGCGAGAAGCTGTCGACGAATCATGACGAGAAGCTATTCCTTGTTTCGAGCGGAAACACATCACCGGATGTTTTGGGTTTCTTATTGTTAGACGACCACACGACATTTGAATATTGAGAAGGTCTCGAGAAGCCGACGCGAACGGACCTATTGAATTATGTTCTAAGAAATTGCCTTGTATTTCAAATATAAACCGTTTAGTTTTGTTCGTTGTTGTTATTATTCGTAATGGAAAGTGCGAGCACGACTCCCCGGCGCAATATGTTTCGCATCCAGGTGTGAGTTTCATGTCGGGTTTTAGAGTTCGTGTGTTCTCCGTTGCAATAAATCAGCTTATTAACGGGACGAAAGAAAGGGTCACAAAATAGCCGCAGCTGCCCGTTCAAAAATACTTTATTACTTATTTTGCACTCTTGTTCTCATTCGCTATCTAGCTCACATGCTCTCTCATTTCGCGACTCGCGTACTTTTCGCACTTCGCTCTCCCTCTCTCTCTCTCTCTTTCACTCACTTTTCCGTACTATCGCTCGTAACTAGGGAAGTTCGATTCACCGGAAAGAATCGATTCAGAATCGTGTTGAGTTTATTAAACAACTTGAGGCAAAAAAGTAATCTATTAAATTAGTTTGATTCTAACAATAAGAACGTCTCGATCGTCACCCTTCTAATATTTTCTTTTAAATAAGCTCTCAGATTTCCGAACTGTTTATAAGAGTTTAGTTCTGTTGCATCTTTCGAAGTCTTTAGGACGTACCTTCCTTGAGATTTATAATAAAGTTCATTTTTCAATTTAAAAGAAAACATACGGCGTGTTATTTATTTAATAACCATATCCTAATAAATCGGAATGAGAGAATCGATTCCTTTAAAAAATCGAAACCAAAGAATCGATTCTGCAAGAATCGGTTTGAAAAAAATCGACTTTTTTTGTTTCCTTTTTTATTTTCATTTTTGTAAACAGACTATCCCATACGATTCTTCTGTGCGGCATCGATTATTGTAAAGAATCGATTTTTTATTTTTTTTATATTTCGTGCTCTTACACCAAAAGCAGGCGCTCCACATTGTTTATATTTTAATCACTATTCTTATACCTTTTTTAGGAGTGAACGTGTTTTTGGGTCGATTCTGGGAAAAATCGAATACCAAAGAATCGATTCAAAAGATCGATTTTTTACCGAAAGAATCGATTTTCTAAAGAATCGAATCGGAATCGAACATCCCTACTCGTCACTCATCCGTTATCCCATTCGCGCGCTAATACATAACCTCTAACAATCTTATGTAAAATACTTTTTCTTTGATTGATTTTCTTGCATACCAACTTCGAACATGATCTCTGCTTTGAAATCGGTAGCCCTCTTGACATAGCAAGGAAGAGGAATATGTACGTTCTGGAACGGTCACGTTTCTGGGTTTAAGTATATCGTCACAGGGGTAAAAGGCGACCGAGTCGACGACGAACAATACTGCCAGGATGTATACTATAATATAAAAGATTTATAAAGTAAAAAGTGCATACTTCTTCGATTATTGTACTTCTTCTTTAATACAGTGGTACTTCGGTATACGTCTGTTTTGGAATACGTCCCATTCGGAATACGTCCTATTTGGACGTGACAAATTTTGTTCGGTATACGACATAAATTTTTTCTGTGAATTTTGCATCATTTTTAAATAATCATCTCAGAGGAAAAATTAAATTAATAATCAATTATATTCGTAGTTGATGTATTATTAACTGACTGATCGTACAAGTAAGAATATCATATAACAAACTATAACCGCAAAATAGGAGGCAATAAAATTTATTCCAGTTGGTTTGTTAATTTAGAATCTATCATTAGATTACATTTATATTTTACAAATTAATTATATTAAATAAACTAGTGAATATTTTTTATAAACTTTTGGGAAATCGTTTAAATGCTGTTCATGACATAAACAGTGTTAAAATTATTTTACAACCCCATTAATGTAGGTATCAATGGGAGTTTTTTTTTATATGAGAACGGATTAATCATTTTTACATTACTTCTTATGGGAAAGGTTGGTTTGATATACGTCCTATTTGGTATAAGTCCACACATCAGGAACGGATTAAGGTCGTATTTCGAGGTACCACTGTATCTCTAAATTGTAATAATTTTATCGGAGAAAAGTTTCCCGAATTTAATGCTAACCAATTTTCTCTTTTGCTACCACGTTATCTATAAAGCGTCGCGACGCGTCGATTATAGCGAAACGTCGCGTCGATCGGTGGTGTGACCGGTTTCTTCTTACTTAGAATCGAGATAAGCGAACAGGATCCGGTTCAAGTTTTCAGTATCGATAATCAGTAAGTAATCTAAATCACGATGTGCACCACGTATTACACTCAGATTGCACGAGGTTATTAATACTAATTAAGAAAAAAATTAATAAAAAAATATTAAGTAAAATTGTATCAAGTAAACGTGATCTTCCTTTCCCAATATCGCCATTCTCCTTAGGGATCCTACCTGTACACCATAAATTAAAACATTTTATTTTTATTTCATAATCATGATAAAAAAAAATCAACGATAGCGCCACAGACTTATTATTTAATCGCTTGATACCTTTATTTCTTTCCGTATCAAATAATTACAGTTTTATCTCTTACAAGTTATCACTATCTTCTATAACACTTCACGGACACGTGTTAATTAAGCAAGAGACGTCCTCGTTGAATAGACAGAGGTATCCCTAAGACACGAACCGATTCGATATGTAATAAAAAGAATTCCCATGGGAAGTGTTCGTTTTGGAAGCTCGTGTTACGTTTCCCTACGAGACAGCAAGATCGTAACGCGAATCTAGAAAACGTGGTAGACTTGTAAAGCCCTGTGTGATTCAACCTCAATTCCTTCGGGTCATCCCCCATATGCTTATCGAGTGTATTTCCCTAGCTGTCATATAATTGGAGAAAGGTTTCAAACTGAAGAAAATACAATACAAGGTTGCGGAGAAAATAACGGAGATAGTGTCTCAGGTAATTTCTCTGTTTGATAACTGTGATTACTGTATTGGGAAAAATTAATATCATTTAATCAAAATTTTTAATATCCTTAAGAAATATTTTCAGAATTTATTTTAAAATCTTTCTAATCTTCATTTCGACTGATCCAGAAGTGCTTCTGCACTCTCATTTATGACCATCGCTCCTGGCCCCTTCCAAGGAGGGCCTTGGACGAACTTCAACACAAGCATATCGCTTAGACAGTACGGCGTGATCGCGAACAAGGCGTGGTAGATAAAGTATCTCCATGATTCATTCCTGAAACAATATTCGTATTAATTAATTGGTGTCTGCTAAATGCAAGCACTGAAACGCATGGATAGCTCCAGGCAGATGATAAACCCTACGTTGAGCTAAGAATGCGACAACGTAAGCTGTTTCGAACTTGTGCAGCCGAATAGTTTGGTCAACACATTCATTCCTGTGGTTAGGTTTCTGCTCGAAATAATCGGAGACTTTCAGAAACTTTATCACATATTAGGTATTAAGTTATTCGCAATATTATTAGATTGGAAAATAAATTTGCGAAAATACTGCGATGAATTTTTAATAATGTCAATTTTATTTTAATTATAGTTAGTTTGAGGTTAGAGCCGCGTCCAGAGCTCTTCGCACTCTGGGCATACAAAGGAATCTCTCTTTTTTTTTGGACCCTAGGCAGGTATTTATTTTGCCTAGGAATAAACGCGGCCCTGAGGTAAATTTTAAAGCAAGAGAGTAAAACGCACTTGTAAATCGCTGATGGATACTTGTCAAGAAGAGCGCCTTCGAACACCTCGTAGATCCGCGGATCTTGCAGCTTTTCAAACTTGGTCGCCTGCGACACCGACGAGAAATACTTGCAATAATTATTGAAATAATCAGCATAAAAATGTTTCGCCTCTTCAGGCATCGAATCCATCATCATTTTGAAATGTTCAGCTTGCCCTGCCATTATGTTGCTTTCTTTGATGAAGGAGCCTATCGAAAACCACTTAAAGATAATTAATTTGCCACTTATCTGATCAATTTCTGATTCTCACTGCGATATACAAATAAATCTATTCAGTCATTACGAACCAGGAATAAAACAAATGACCTTGACGCCATATTTCTTTAGTTCCAGCCTGAGGGCCGTGGCCCAAGCGGTGAGTCCAGCTTTCGTCCCGCTGTAAGTAGCCACTCCAGGAATCGGTTGGATCTTACAATGGCTCGAGATCACGATAATCCTGCTCGAGTGGATACGGATCATCGGCATCAATTCTCGAGTGATTCTGACAGCGCCGAGTAAGTTCACCTGCAATTGCCTTTCGATCTGCTCGTGGGTTTGCCATTCGAATTCGCCGAAGATCATCACGGCGGCGTTATTGATCAAACACCGTAACTCTAAAAATATCCATTTTACAGCTTTCTGATAACCGGATTTTTGTTTGGGGGATCGATTATGACGAGTCCTTCAAAAGCCCGAAATATTATCTTATGAAGATGGAACACGATGGAATTTTAATGGAATCGGGCTTATGCCTGGGCAAAATAGGCACACGTGACTAGTGCCTGAAAAAGCTATAGACACTGCCCTGAATGGAAATCAAAATAATTTACCTAAGTTTTGTTCATTTAATAATGATCGCACAGAATCCACAAAGTGTGAGAGGTCAAGAAAATTCGTGACGTCTAAGGAAAAAACATGTACACCCTTCTGTCCCAACTTCTTAGCCCCGGGACCATCTTTTTCCAGCACACTGGCGATCACAGTTGCCCCGAGCTGTCGACAGTGTAACGCCAGACTGTATCCTAATCCCGAATCGCAGCCAATTATAATAATGGCATGATTCGGGGATATTTTGTCTCGAGATTTGATGCGACAGTACAAGTAACTTCCACCTGAAATAAAAAATCATTATTTTGTATGCTTCATTAACGCCAGCAAAACGTTCTAACGCCTGATAACTGCCCAAATAATGGCACTGTACTTCGCTTAAATCAAAGGTGGAAGGCTAGTACTAATAAAAAGACTGGATATGTTTTTATTTGACCAGTCCTTTACAAGTATTTCAAAAACACCGCCGTAAATAAAAAGTTTTTTAAATTCGACCCTATAATTGTTTATAATAAATCAATTACTAGCTAGATCCTTACAAAACCTGTATGTGAAATTCGCCGTCAATTTTTAGAAAGTTGACATCTAACGGATGAGATCTTTTCGCATGATTTTATAACATAAAAATACCGTAAGATGGCATTTATGATATATCGATTTAAAGTTTCAATCTTAATGAAGATAATTGTGTAGGCGCTTCAGTAATATTCTTAATAAAAAAATGGCTGAATGTCAATTACAGTAACCAATGACTATAACTGGCAATTTTCGGTCCCTTTCATAAATATTTAAAAAATTTATGATTGTAAATTGAAGAATTTGTATGTAGTTTATTTAATTTTCAAGATTTTATTTATTTAATGCTTCAAATTTGTAAACCACCACTCTTTTACAATTAATCCACATCGGTAATGATAGTGTCTTCTTCTTTTTAAATTTAGATTGTAAATTAAAGTGTTGTAATGGTTTAATTTGTATAAAAGACAAGAATTTTTGTAAAATAATTAAGTTAATAAATAGAAAATGTTGTAAAAACTTAATATTTTTTTGGATAAATCAATAAGTCGGTAAGTAGCTTCTGCTGCTCTTCGATAGGCAGCGCCAGTATCCTTTGTTTCAAAACATCGATCGGTAATTTGTTGAGTAGTTTGAGCCGTTCTTAAAGAGATGGCACTGCAGTTGAAATTTAAAAAAATTTTAATTTACGGCGGTCTTTTTAAAATACAAGTTTATGGTACAAGTACGTAATATACAAACTCAATTGTATTTACTTTTTATACAAATAAAATATCTTATAGGAAATAAAGATATGTTTATTAAAAAAAGGAATGAAATTTTGATGTTTTAATGATCTTACCAATACAGCATAGGGTTGCGGTCGGTACCAAATACTTGTATCCTTTGTTCCATAAATGAACCAGACCAATTGCAGCACTTAAATCGACTGTAAATATTGTACAGTACCTTTTCATGTACTTCACTAATCTACTATTCATCACAGACTTCACTAATTCCATCGTTAATTTCGACTTGGTTAATAACTTGCCCAAGATTATTAATTTTCTAATTCACAAAGTTTTTATCTTAACGTATTATACCTCAGTGTTATGATTTCATATTACAAAACGGAACTGATATTCGATAGCTGCAAAGTGCTTGGGTAAGACAAAAAAAAAATTCAAATTATACGTTATTGTAACATGTTACTGTTTAATAATAAAGGAGAATGTTTCTTGTTATTAAGTGGAAATAAAAGCACAAGATTCTATAGTTGATTTATGGATTTACTATTTCATGAGTAATAAATATTCAAAAACCGAGCGAAGGTAGGCACTTGAAACGAAACGATAGTGTCCTTGTCCTGATCACAAATGGCTGCTATGGAACGTGAGAAGAAAGTTAAACCTCCCCACTCCTCTGCTATCTATTATGATCATCCTTTTTTGAAATTCAAACAGGGACTGTAATACATTTTAAGATATTCATCGATTAGTGTTTCTTTTCTCTTTTCTTATAAAATACCTCTTCTTAAGTTTAGAGGCAACTCGAGACACTACTCTGAACTGCTAAGAGGTTTTAATATTTTCCCTGTCAGTCGCTAGACAGTTGTTTGAATTACAAATACGTTTTACATGAATAAATCGAATACGGTAGATATTCTGCATTATTTCTGCCACTTACCTCGACAACTTACCGATCGATTTTCCGAAACTAGGTGAACCTAGGTGAAATTATATTTTTCGATTAAATTGTAATAAACGTTCAGTTAAAAAAAAATAATGGTTTATACAGTCATAATGCATAATCTGTTGAAAATTTATGAGTCTTTGCAGAGTGAAATATACAGCTTAATATTAAGGCATACTTTACATAAAAATTAACAAATGGTAAGGCTAACAGTACACTGTATCTTAAGCTAATTACTCTTTCAAAACGAAATTATATATCAGTCGATACATATTCCTTTGACTGTGGTTGATAATTATTTTGCTATTTTACAAGCATTAGTTATTACTTCCACATGTTATCCTTTCAAGATTTAATTCCAAAGTTCTTCTCGAAAGCAAAGAGTATATTAAATACCGGCAGGGTTATCGTCGACCCTAACATTAGGATTTGCGTGAAGATCGTAACTCGGATCGCCATCCGTAGCCATTCTCCCAAGCCAAGAGAACAAAAGTACGATTCCAGTAAAAGCTAATATTCCCATAACAGCTATTACTGCGTATCTTTTGTACAATGGCCCAGCTGTATTTCTACGTCTTGTCGGTGGACTCGCTATGAGTTTCCACCACCTTAAAAACCATTCGATAGCTGACTTCCTCCTGTATTTATTTTCATCGTGATCAAATGATATTTCTTTGGGGTCATCATAAGCCTCGCAAACTTTCCTTGAAGTTGGTGTGGATAATCCCACCGATGAATCAATATTTACAATTGAATATGGAGGACCAATTTTTTGATTATTTAAATGCACATTGTTTATATTAGTGTGTACTGAATTTGCATTGCTATTGGAACGGGATGTAGCTACTGTTGGGGATGAAGTTGCCAATGTGTGATTTTGATATGATGTAGATTCAACTCTTAATGATGGGCGCTCTTGTTCTGGCTTTTGCTCTCTCTCTTCACTGAGCTACAAAGCAAAATGTATAAAATGAGTAGATATATACAGAGAGAATTTGATCCATAATCAATTATAATATGTACCAGTGGTAAACCAAGCCCTGCACGTGCCCAATTAACTCCAGCCAATTTTTCTCTTAATACATCTGCCACAGGAGATACTAATTTTCCATCTGGAAAGATACATTCTTTACAACTAGGACACGTGTATCCTGCTGGTGCTGTGGTTGCTGGTAATTCTCTAGCATATTTATCCAAACATGCCCAATGAAACATATGATAACATGTTAATCTAACACAATCCCCTTCACTCAAGTTTGCTGAGCATAATGTACAAACTGGATTATAATCGTGATCATGGAGCCACAAAATATATGACTGTACAATACACTGAAAAAAATAACAATAAAGGGTAATATTAATCGAATCTAACCGTATCGATAAAATTGATTTTCTATACAGTGAATCATAATTCACATATTATTTTTCTAAACAAGGTAAAATACCTTTGGATGATTTGTAACCATACAATGTTCACAAACATTAACACGGTGTTCAAAACAGAACAGATTTGTGACTCTCCTCTTCGGACACTTGCACAGTCCCATGTTTTTATAAAATTATACGATTAATACATTAAATAAATTACAATACTATCTTAAAAAAGATTAATTAGTTAAGAACACTATTAAAAACGGATCTTTTCACATGACATATCATGATCTTATGACAACTTAAAGTGTAGGATGTGACACGGCTACCATGTTTCATCGGCCACGTCGTCTGACATTTTCTGCGGAAGATACAGCAGAACGAACCAATACAATTCTTTAGTATTCAGCAGTTAACAAATGAACAGTCTTCTCCACAAGTATGGAAAGACAAATTTTTAAATATGATTTATACAAATATAAAATCGCGCCTGGTTGAAAGAAATTTTTAAACAGAAGAATTTATGAAATTTTAATGTATTAAAAATTCTTTTCAAAGAAATAAATTTTAGGACATTACAATTTTTGTTATCCTAATTTTTATATGATTCAAAACAGTTAACTGCATTTTTCTGTTCTTGATGATACCGTTTCATATATTTTCTTGTCTAAAATCATTCATTAGAGCAAACAGCATATGATTATATACAAAAGTATCAGTCCTAACCTATTTCAAATACCGCAGAAATGGCTGCATTGTTCCGATTTGTAAAACATTTAGGAGAACATATATCATTACAAAGTTATAGAAATATATCTGTATCTAGAACAACATATCTTAAGGAAAGTGAGTGACATTAAATACAAGTGTTGATTAAACAATAACAGAATCTAATGTTTACTCATAACTTAACGTACATAACCTCTACCGTTTAATATGTTTATTTACAGTCATTGAAAGAAAGGAAGGGAACACTTTAACTGTTGAAGCAGTAATAAAACCGAATAAAAATGAAGAACGGTTGTTGAAAACTAAAAATGGAGCGTGTCCTCTCTGTTCCACTGGTCTTGATGTCAAGCACACAGTAAGATCTAAATATTTGTTTCTACATTTTTTTGTATTACTTTAATTTATTAAATTCCTAAATAATTAAATTTATTTTTACAGGATGTTCTTATTTTATATCAGTTTACAAGATCAGATGGTTGCATATTACCCCGTAGAATTACTGGCCTATGTAGAGTGCAGCAGAAAAGAATTTCCTCATTAATTATCATGGCACAGACTGCAGGTTATTAATACATGTAGAAATATCAGTTTTAAGTACCAGATAGAACAATAATATATTAAATAATGGTACATTCGTTTTAGGTTTATTACCAATAAGAGGTCCGAAAGGTGTTCCACTTCACCCTTTACAAAGACGAAAGTGGCGAAAATTTAACACGTACTTTGATGAAAAAACTATTAGAGCTAGATATAATAACCTGTAAAAAGATTAAATAAACATTTATCGAATATTGTTATAGTTTATACTGTCTGTTTCTTTCAGCATTCAAATCGAACATAATTCTATCACTTTCTTTGCGATACGAGATGTATTTATGTAATATTATAGGTTAGAAAGTCATGTTGACATCTAGGTTAGTAACAAATTCGTGGTGTAAATTACAAACACGGTGGTTGTCAAACGGTTCAGCAGCTCTAAGAAAGGAATATGGGGAATATGAGATTAGCAAAATTCGAAATATCGGAATTCTGGCGCATATCGATGCCGGTTCGTTTAATTTTAATATATTTTATACGTTAACCTATTGAAAACTGATTTCGTTTGCTCAAAAATTATATCATTTTCACAATGATTTTTCAGGAAAAACTACTACTACAGAAAGGATGTTGTACTATTCCGGTTTGATTAAATCTATGGGAGAAGTTCATCACGGAAATACGGTAACAGATTATATGGATCAAGAACGTGAACGTGGTATAACAATCACCTCTGCAGCAGTAACATTTGATTGGAAAAATTATCGTATTAATCTAATAGATACTCCAGGACATATTGATTTCACCATGGAGGTAGAGCAGACACTAAGAGTATTAGATGGTGCAGTTGTCATATTAGATGGAAGCGCAGGTGTTGAAGCACAGACATTAACAGTTTGCAGACAAGCAGACAAATACAACATACCAAGAATTATTTACGTCAATAAAATGGACAGACCAGATGCCAACTTTGATATGAGTTTAAAATCTATTGAATCAAAATTAAATACAGATGTCTTACCCACTCAGTTCCCAATAAAAAATGAAGGGGTCTTAGAAGGTATTGTGGATGTTATATCTTTAGAGAAATTAATCTTTGATAAAAAATTTATGGGCATGAAATACCAGAGGTCAAAATTATCTGAATCTGAAGACAAGAGCTTGTGGGAAATGGCAAACGAAAAACGTCGAAATTTAATTGATAAACTATCTAACATAGATGATAAACTAGCTGACATAATTATAGAACAAGAATCTTTAGATACAATTTCTCCACAAGTATTACTTGATTCTTTATATAGAAGTACTCTAAACATGAAAGGTGTTCCTGTACTCTTAGGCAGTTCTTACAAAAATATTGGAGTGCAACCATTAATGGATAGTGTCCTTCTTTATCTACCCTCACCCAATGAAAACAAGTACTTGAAGTATTACAATTGTTTTAACAAACATCTTTCTGCCAGAGTATTTAAAGTAATTCATGACAAACAAAAAGGACCAGTTACTTTCGTCAGAATTTACACTGGTGCCATAGAAAGGAATAGCAGACTGTACAATGTTCACAAACGGGAGAGGGAACAAGTAGGAAGATTATACGTCGCCTGTGCGGATGAATACGAAGAAGTATCCAAAATTACAAGTGGCAATATAGCAGCAGTTGGAGGATTAAAGACTACAACTACTGGCGACTTGATAACGTTCAATGAATCCGCGGCAAATGAGGCGAGGAAAAAGCTCGAGTCGCTAAAAGACATTAAAAAGGAAGTAGTGGACGACTTCTTCGCTTCAAATTCAAAAGTTTTAGAACCTGTTTTCTTCTGCTCCATAGAAGCACCATCTCTGTCTACACAGGCGGCTTTAGAGACTGCTCTTCAACAATTAGAAAGAGAAGACCCTAGTCTGAAGGTAACTTACAATACTGAGACTGGCCAAATCGTGCTAGCAGGCATGGGTGAATTGCACATTGAAATTGTGAAGGAAAGGATCAGAACAGAGTACAAAATCGACGCTGACATAGGCCCTCTGCAGATCGCATACCGAGAAACTATCAAGGAAGAAGTCAAGGACACCTACTCCTGCGAGTATAAAATAGGAAAGCTCAAACCCAAAGTCACACTGATTATGTCGGTGATACCAAACTACCGTGATAGCAATAAATTGCTGTTGGATAGGACACCAGAATGTATCGCTAATATTGACGCTATATCAGAGAAAACGATGAAAGCGGTCAAAAGTGGTATCGATTCAGTTTTAACAAACGGGCCAAAGTTAGGTTCTCCAGTGGTGAATATGGGCGTGAAATTGCATTGGTTAGAAATCGGACGGGGTACCTTGCCATCGATAATTACTGCTGCTGTATCCCAGTGCATCAGGCAGGTAAGGTTAAATATATTTTACATATATTTAAACAATGTATCAACAAATGACAGAGTACAATTATTGAGATATTTAATTATTCACAGTATCATTCTCATTACGTTTGATCGTTTCGCCGTTTTTCTTAGGATATCCTGAGATGTTTGTTTTTCCAATTCCTGATATCGCCTCGGGCAGTAATTGTAAAGACTTGGGTTTATATTCCAACATCGTTCTCTTTAAGTTTTGCTTCGCCGCGTCGCTACTCTTCGATGATCTGTCCTGAGGGAGAAGGTACCTGTTCCTCCAATTATCCTGTATGGCTTTTACAGCATTCTCTTCTTTATTGGACGCATAAGCATCGGTGAACGTTCGAAGGACATTGATTTTGTTGAAAGTGTCCTCGGAAACAGCTGCAGGATTGGAAGACCTCCACATAGAGGTCGCTAATGGAAAAGCGTAAGGCTTCAGCTTTGCGTTTTGTTTAAGTTCCACAGCGCGGGGTACTTTCGAGGGTTGTCTATCGAAGAAATTATTGATCAATATATCAGTTTTAAGCTGCAAGTTTCTCAAGAAATTCTCATCGATTGTCCTGCGTCCAGCGGAATTTCTCACGGAATTATAACCCGTTTCATCGTCGCTCAGATTTTCGCCGCTGTGTTTCTTCAAATTGTTACTTCCCTTCATTTTACTTTTGTTTCTCTTATTGTTAGTCTGCGACGACCTATCTACGGTATGAATGCCCCATTTTAACATGTAAGAATCGAGAAACCTGTGGTACAATTTAGGACAAATCTCTTGTTGGTCGTAGTGTTTGTCTATGAAGTAAACCCTTCGCAGACGACAATTTCCACTGATTTGAATTCTCTGTGTGATGGCGTAGTCTCTTTTGAAAGCGGTCTGAGTCAAATTCGACAGGTTCAGTTCCAGTTTGTTCCATCCACTTTCCAATTTGATTTTCGCGCGACAGATCACACCCCTAGAGCTCTGCCTCTCCGCCTCAGCGTTGGTGAATTGAAAATGGTGCAAGCAGTTTTGGGTGTCTACTACCTAATTTCAAAATGTGAAATTATTGAAATGATATAGGCATTGAGACGTAACTATACTCCGTTCAACGAGACGAATCACCAAGTGTACACGTGATCCATGCATGAGCAGGACAGGGTCGACTCACGGGTTCCGGATCCCCCAAATTGCATCTTAAGATAACTGAGTTGCAACATGTGACAGCCAATGGCTGCAGTCGCAGAGCCGATTACGTGAAAAGGGAGCGAGCTGTTTGGTTTTACTTAGTGACTCGTCTCGTTGAACGGTGTATAGGTACGGAGCAAAGTGGATCCAGGAGCATCCCCTGAAGCTAGGGGACCCATCTAGGATCTTTTAGTTATGGCAATAATCAAACTGAGAATTTTATGCTTATACCTGCAACTGCAGTCGACAGGGCAAATTTACATTCTTTATAACCACGACTAGAATCGGTAACTCGATATTAAGAAACTGAGAGGATTCAGGGGGACACAAGATGGAGGTGCCATAACTGTTCGGTTGCTCAAAGTCCTGTATCTCGATAACCTGTTAATCGTTTCATCATTAAAAACACAGTTCGATTTGAATCAATTCACTTCAGATTCGTCATCGTGGTTCGTACATTTTCCAACAGATCCGAGTCCAAGATTTTACGTATACGACCCGACTGGGATTGCTGTTTACTCCAGTACTCTAGGGGCTTGTCGCCGATACTGTACAACAGAGACACATACCCAGCAACCATGAACTTACGAGATTAATTCACGAAAAATGCCAAGCATTTATGCGTGTCGATACTTTGAGATTTAACATGATTCCGTTTCGTTTGTTTTCTATGGATCAACTTCAGATGGAGATATTTCATTTGGAACTATCTTCTTTTGAAACTGATCAACGTTGATGGGAGTTTTTTTTCCAATTTTTATTCTAAATTCATTTTTCATGGAAAATAGCTGATGCGAAACGCTGAGCTGACGCTTCTGGAACCTATTATGCGATTAGAAGTGGTGGTACCCGAAGAGTACTCTAGTGTGATTCTAAAGGATCTATCCAAAAGACGCGCAGAGGTGCAGTTTATCGACGTGCGTAGAAACAACAAGGTACTTAAAACTTACGTTTTAAGAAAATCCATCAATTTGGTATCAGTGCCAGATTAAAGGAGAGGTCTAAAGGAGACTACAGCCCTGGGCCCTCTTTTAAGCCTTTTATTTACTGTTGCCTTTCTTTCTTTATGATTATGTCACTTAATTTTATTTAGAATAAATTCCAATTTTATCAACCAAGGGGTCTTCTCAAAGAATCTTAAGTAGCTCTTGTCTGGCATTGTTCTAAACAAATGGTATGCGCAGGTGATAAACTGTCTCGCTCCACTGGCCGAGCTCCTGGGCTACTCAAGGGCAGTGAGGATCATCTCTTCAGGGCATGCAACGTTCTCATTGGAATTCGACCATTACGAGATGATGGATTCCATGAATGAAGCGGAGGCGATTAAAAGGACAACAGGCTTCTATTAGGAGATCTTTGAACAGGATACACGGAACTTGATTCTGTACACACATTCGTGTGACACGACATTGTACAAAATATTCTGTTTGTTTTTTGTATTGAGAAATCATCAATTCGACTGTACAAAGATATAAAATTCGACCATTAACGCTGTACGAGTTTATTTGCACGTTCTATCACAGGAACGTTTCCGTTCCAAAGATCCATGGCGTCCACGAGGCCGAGGAACTCGTGAACAACCATATCACGCAATGTATCTCAACTTACAGCTAGATGAAGTTCACAATTATGATACACAATTGAAACACATCGTTATTATTCGTCGATAATTACATAATATTTTAATTCCTCTTTTATTCGTTCGATCCAATGAAAATATATTGCAGCATTTATTGATGGTGCGTTATAATTTTTTCTTAATCATAACGATCGTTGGATCGCGACCGCCGATCACGGGGCTGAAATCGAGCAGGTCGTAAAACGATCTACCTCCTCTCTCTCGCTAACGCTATATTTATATATATTATATTAAAAAAAAAAAAGAAAAGAAAGAAGAAAGTCTTATCGAAAATATCGGCCAGCCTCGCAAGCAGCAGCCGCGTATAAATATATTAATATTGCTTAAAGATCATGCAAAAAATGTCATACATAGTAAAATATATGTATGTATATATATTATATGTATGGAGGGATTACATATTACGGGAAACTTGCAAACCACGCGAGTTGCTCGTAGAAATCTCGTTACTCGTAATGAAAAGCGGCATCGATGCGACTCGAAATGCCAACAAGAAAATACGGCTCTTCTTGAGAATGCAAGAAAAAGCATTCGTTAAATTTTTAGTACATACATGTATTTATATATGTACAATCGTCACCGAGCCGCTGTACTATGTGTCTCTCCTTGAAATTGTGCGACAAGTACAATCGCGAGCAACGTAGTCTTTTCTTAGGGCCTAAGAGAAGGCTCCGTTGCACGAGAGTGTACATGTATAACGCAGTGCAGCGCGAATGAAGACCCGATTCAGCAGATGGCCGCCGATGTACGGATGATTCTTTCTTTATCTATCAGAGAGTTTTGAGCGCTAAAGACGATCCTTAGCTCTAACGTTTTCAATTTCTTGCTTCTCTTCTGGTTCTCTGTACAAAATTCCGCGAAACGGTCCAAGACGCGACAACACCTCTTTCATTCGGGATCGTCCTCGTTTGATCCGTACTCGAGGTCATCTTGGCGTCACAAGCTCACCAGCTTCGGTGGATTCGCATCCGGGGAGCTGAGGTCAACCGCTGACAGGTTGTTTCTCTGTTGCGTCGAGCAGGATGGTATCAAAGGCGTGGAAACTGGTGTGAGCCCGGTACCACCCTCCATCAGAGACTCAAAGTTAAACGGTATGCCACTGGTAGGGGTGGTGATCGGCATTCCAGCGACGTCTAGCGACGGTTTCATGAAAGATGGCGTCTCGACTGTCTTGAACGTAAGCGAGTCTGGTCTCTCCTTCGATTCGGTGAAGATCGACAAAGAGTTTGGTCGATTGTTATTGTCAAAACCAACCGGCAACGAGTTTGGTCTGTTGGGTCTCGCGGCGGCGTTCAACGAATCGCGTTTCGCGTTGTCCACGCTGGCGAATTGATCCTCGACCGGAAGTTCTGGCTTTATCACAGGCTTCACATCCGGCGGAGACGTGGAACGAAGTCGACAGACAGCTCTGTGAGCCTCCAGAATGAACTCGAGCTCGTCTTTGGCTTGTTGCAGCTGATGGATCTCCTCTTGCAAGCTTTGTTTCTTTTGTTCCAAACCCTCAGTCTCCTACAACACGCGCATCATCCATGTTATATTCTTTGTTCAGTGGTTTCCAAATGGGATGAAGATACATATAGCTCCTAAACGGCTGTTTCAATTATCAGATTTCATGTATTTAAGCGAGAAGCATTCAAAGAGCGGTAGATCTACGTCAAGCTTGTTCACAAGATACCCTGCTGGTTGAAAGTGGTATTACTTGTGGCAGCGATTACAGAAACGGCAATATAAGTAGAGAGGAAGACATCTAGCCTACTCATTTCACATTTTCTTTTTTAACACATTCGCTGCCATCGTCAAAGCATTATCACCGCATCAGAGATGGATGCCATTCTTGTCTGATCAACAAAATATCAAGAGAAATCCTTCATCATAACATCGTTCTAATCGATGACACACGGCACACTTTTCCTCATGATTTTCAGGCGGCAGCGAACGTGTTAAGATCTATCCTGCTGATCGTCACTTACTTCTAACAGGGCGTTGGTGTGATCCATCCTTCGCTTGCGGCATCTGGCTGCTGCCATTTTATTCCTCTCCCTACGGATCTGTCGTCGTTCCTCCTCCTCGGGTGTCATCCCGATCGTTCTCGTTGGCCTTCTACCACCCATATTGCGCCTGGTGGGTTGAGTTTGTTGCGTCTGTTGGCTCTCCACCAGGGTGGTATTGGTAGCCACGGGGACGGCGGTGGCGGCTGCGGTGGTAACGATGTGATGCGCCGCCGTGTTTTGCGTCTGTGCCGGCGTCGGTTGCGACGGTTCAACCAACGGTGGTACGAAGCCTGCTTCGCGACTGTGTGACGCGGACTCGCTAGTTAGCTCGAGGAACGTCTGTTCGATGCTACGGAGCGTCGTCGGCGTCAACGTCGGCGTCGTTCTGGTCGGTACTCCGCTATGCAGTCCGTCCAGAGATACGAGCTGTAACAGAAAGAAGTTACCGTTTTTCAACTTCCAATCTCTAGCTTAGATATCTTGTACCTCGAGTTAGGGGTCTCGGTTCTAGTTCCAATTTCGATCCAATACGTTCCAATACGAGTTCCAATAAATGTTTTCATAACGAGGAAAAAGAAGGCGTTGCGCAACAGATCACAAAAAGGAAGAAGAATAAAAAACGAATCACGATGAATTGGTTCGCGATATACCTTGGTCACGTTATCGTTTCCTTTTCACATTGATATCGCGAACCGTTAATCCACGCCGAGATGTCCCCGATAAAAATACCCGTGATCCAATAGACGATAAGCTATCGCCGCGAACCAGATCGTCAGGGTTGCGTTTCAAGGTATGCGCGCATCTTTGTCGTCACTGTCATCATCGCTAAAATTACAACCATTATCGCAAAATTCCTAATAATTATCCCTCCTCATTTCCCTCCTTCTTTCTAATCTTTGGATTTAGCTTGCCTGGCGTTCACCTGGCCATCGGCGTTAAGAAGCGATCATGTGTTTTTCTCCTATGGAATGCGTTTCTATGTGTAAGGAGACGATCGTTTCAAATTTAAAAGTGAAACAATCTAACGTGTTTCGCAACCAGAAGAGAGTAGTCGATCATGGAAACAATTGTCCCGTCAGCTGTCGACGGATTTCATCGACAATAAAAGTTGTGTACGCGTTCAGCTACGGATGATATTAATGACTTGGCTCGAATCACAGCTCACGTAGCGACAACCTCGCGTTCACCATTATCGCGTCGACCAATCGGCAGACGGAATCGCGACGTATTATAGCCCCGACAATCGCGCACACGTTTTCCCAGAAAGCACAAAAGAGGACGCAGGAAGGAGAAAAGCACGTCCTTCGTTCTCCTAAGAAGAGAAGAGACAACGACCAACCACCACCACCGCCACCGCCACCGCAGCAACACTGTGGAGCCTATCATTTCTAAAATTACGATCCGTTCTGATAGTTAACGAAGGTCGATTCACGGATAGATTAGACGTCAGAGAAATCGAACACGATTCCCAGGAGAGTTCAAGCATCATTGCACAGGAATTTACACAGCGAGCTGCTTTGAATGAAAAAAACGACGATGGATTCTTAGATAATTCTTTTCCTCTTCTAATTTCATCATTAAATATATGCCGGCTGCTATATTTTCTTCAAGATTTCATAAAAATACTATATTTCCCGCCAAAAAGGTAGCGTCCCTAGTTATTTGCGTTGCCAACATAACATCCCTAGACTCATATCCCTAGTTGAAGAAAGTCTACAAAAGGATCGAACGAGCGAATAACTCTTCAAATTTTGAATGAAAATTTATGTTCCCTATATTTGTAACACGAAATGACGATGCCTAATAGCCACATTTTCTCTCATGTCATCGCTAAAATTACTTAGCGTACACGCCAACAAACAACGGCTTTAGTGTAACAGTAATCATCCACCCACAAAATTCGCAGCCCACCTATTCGATGTTGTTAGACGCAAGAAGTTCAGGAATGTCCGGAGCGATAAACTTAGGCGTTACCAAATCGTTTTCGCGCGTCAATGATTTCTGGAATTTCAGTTTTGGCCCACCACCACCACCACTCTTTCTCTTCTACCAATACACTTTCGAAGAGTTACGAATTCGCGTTTCTTTTTAATTAACATTTTCAATGAGTTTATAATTTGCTGCCAAGTATGGTCGATGCGCAGGCGCAGCTCTGTTCCTCCATTTGGCACGATCCAAAATTTATAATCGCAACCATCTTGAGAAGGTTGTCCCGTTATTGTACCAATGATGATTAAAGGCGCGATAAATTTAGGAACGTTAAACGAATGTTTACCGATGTATCCGAAGTTATCGGTTCGTATTTACTTGTTGTAGGTGTACATTTATTGGATCGAAAACGTCATTCGTCTACAAAGGTGTGGTGACCGTGTGATAGTTATCCTTTCAGGAAAAAAAAAAAAAAAAGAAAAAAGAGAGAAACCGATGTACTCAATTTCGTTTATCTACAGAACAGGAAAGCGACATCGTCGTGTTTGCGGTAAAAAGATTATCGACCCTTATGATCTTAAGGCTAACCTCTATTTGCCACGGAAACATTAAAACGATCTTATAGCCATTTCGTCGACGAATAAGTTCGATTTAGAATTTCCGTCCATTTTGTCTATTTCGAATTTGGTAAATCGGTTAGGCTTCGAGTGGTTACCCGATTCACCATTACACTCGCCCCCTTAGCCCCTCAATCCTAAGGTAATGCTCCGTCTATATATGGCTATAAAAGATTACAGTGGTTTTGGTGGAAGATTAACAAAAAGGAAATGCTGATGCTATCAGTTTTTTAGCAGGCACGAGACCGAGATTAATACCACGGCACATTCGCTGACCGACGCGACGCGACGGGCCGTTCACCTTGCACGGCATCGTCATTTTGAATACGTCAGACGATATGCCGGCCTGGTAGACGAACTCTGTACCATTTTGTCAGACTTATCTTGTACAGGTTCTGACAAGTCAATGCCTCCCCGACAGAACGCGTCACGACACGCTTCAAAGAGCAAACAAAGCGCATCCTTATACTGTTGTAAGGATTTAACTTACTTATTTTCACCCGTGTAACGTATACGTTTATTTATTTATCCCTCTGCGGGCATACTGGGGAATTACCCGATCAGCGCGGCAAATTTAAACACAGTTACGTCCAATCTTTGATACTTGAAATTTATCGCTTGAAAAATAAAATCTTAAGCAGGGTTTTTTTTTGTCCACGATAGTTTAACTGGCACGTTGTTTTCTATTAGCATTTTGCAACAGCGGAATACATATATGCATCGTTTCTAGAAATAGCTGCGTATCCTACCCTGAATTCTTGCATCTCTCGCATCGTGCATCGTTCACCTAATAGCAATGCAAGGAATGCAGAACATTCGTACACTCCGTACGTGTTGCTTTTTTTTTCTCATAAAATATAAAAAATGAAGTAATAAATCAGAGAGGTTTTTATTTCTTGGATCGATGAATCTGTGCACTGCTTTGAGGTATACGCCCCATGGGTGATAGTCACGTATGATAAATGATATTACACCGTGTGCACGCTATGAGTATACATTGCGAAGAATTAGTTAAAAAGAAAGTTAAATATAACCTGTTTGATAGAGAGTGGATAGTATGATATCGCGGACGGTTAAATAACGAAGACTACGATATACTGGTGACACGCGCGTTTCTACGGGAGCATTTCAATTATCGACACAGGGTAGTAGAGATCACGATTTTGAAATCAATCAAGCGATAACCGCAAGGTCACGAGATCGCGGTACTCGATGGACGGAAAAACAAAGATAATAAAAAGGTTGTAAAGCGATCGAGGCGTCGCGTCGCGTCACCGTGGCAACCGAGACGCGCGGAAAACATTTCGCGCAGATGCGTGACAGAGCTTTTTTTTCGATATTCGACGTTGGCATGCATGCTCTCGTCTTCCGTTTTGCGATGCAGTCGGTTCTCTTTCCACCCTCGGCTTCTACGCAGACACACGCGGCCGTGCACGCGACGTACACGGATGCGCGCGCATACACGCGAAATCAACGTATATATCCCACACACGCTCGCTGCTTCTATAAATAAATGCGTTTGCTGTTTTAATCTACTCTGGGCCCGTGTGAGCGGACAAAGGGCGATATCAATAACCAAAAAATCATTGTAAAGCCAGATATCGACGCTGTGATTTCGCCGAATGAAATGATTTCGAAGAAAAAATTGATTAGAGAATAAAGAGAGTTGTACGGGGGGAATCTAACCTCTATCGCGCATGCGCGTAACACTATACCGCGAAAAATAGATTCCTCCTAAAAACAGAGTTAACCTCGACATCGAGGACGATAAAATCATTGTAATCAGACGTCTCGACCCTCACAGAAAAGAATGTAGGGTCAAATCTAATGATTTTTTAGATATGGTTCAAAACGACCTTGCATTCGTCTGTCGCAGGTTAATCGTCCGTAGGAACGATTATACCCTTTGTGTAACGTGAAATATACCGTGGAATATTTTCTACTTGCGTGCACTGACTTGTTAAAGCTACTATACACATACCTACATAAATGATTTGGCGCGCGTACTAGCGTTCACCGTCCCCATCAGCGAGGTTACTTTTTTTTTCTTCTGTCTTAAGGTAGGCTATGGCGCGTTATGGTTTCAATGGTTTTTACGAGAACGTAAAAATATTCGTACCGCGGTTTCATACGCAACTCTCTTTATGATCTGTTTGTTTCACCGAAGCGGGTGGACTTCCAACGGTTATTGCACAATGTTGCACAATTCTTGCTCGTCCGCATCGCAATAATGATCCCGCATACGTTAACAGGCTCAATAGCACGCGTTCACGCGTCGAATAGTGACTTTCTCCTTCAAGTTCATCCATCCATCGCGCGCGACCGCGTACGCCATGTTGTTTTTTTTTTCTTTCCTCTTTTCGGTCCCGAGTCTTTTTTGTATTCATTGTTGGGAATGGCGCGTGCTTTGAAAGAGACAAGGGAAAGGTGACGGTTTTTAATTCGTGCGCCATTTTCTGCCGAAATGGACTTTTTGACTCCGTCCACCCTAACCTGTCGTTAGGAGATACTCTACTGAGTAGAGTCTACTCCACACACGAAGTGAATGAAACACTTATTTCGAAGGCCTGCCAAATAGTGTTTATTTCAGACGGTCTTCGATGCTCCATTCGGAACTCATTATTCTGTTTTCTTCATGGAAAGAACTACCATTGTGAGAAAGCACAATGTAATTGTACGTGATCTTCAAGAAGAGCCTGACAATAGGACAACAATACACGTCATCGATTCAATTGAACGTATGTATCTTGGATGATCCAAGTGATTTTCTATTTTTAAATCTACCACTTTCACGTCGAGACATAACTTGGTATAAATCAGAGATTTTCTTTATCTCTCCCTTCCAAATATGTTTTGTCAAAATATCTCCAGCGACATCTT